GAAGTCCTTGTGGCTTAAATGAGAGCACACTGAACAGTGACTCAAATCCACACAAATAAATAAAAGCGCTTGTAAGTGAAACTATGCAGGCAGCTGTGAAAGACAACATCAATGCAGTTTTTTCTTTTTTATAAGAGGTTTCTTCTTATCTGCTTTAAAAACAGTTGCATAAATCAACAATTATACTATGGTGCTGATGGACTTACAATCTATAAAGATGTAATTTGTATGACAGTAAGAGCATGGAGGAAAAAAGGGGGTGGAATAAAGTTTTTGTGAAATTGTTAGTATTAATACAAACTAGGTAGTTATAAATTAAGCTGTTAATTGTCATCCCCAGAAAACCCACTAAGAAAATAATTTTAAAAATGGGAAATGAGGGGCCAGCACTGTGGCATAGCAGGTAAAGCAGCTGCCTGCACTATCAGCATCCCCTATGGGCACCGGTTCGAGTCCCAGCTGCTCCACTTCTGATCCAGTTCTCTGCTATGGCCTGGGGAAGCAGTGGAGGATGGCCCAATTCCTTGGGTCCCTGCACCCATGTGAGAGACCCAGAAGAAGCTCCTGGCTGCTGGCTTCATATCGGCGCAGCTCTGGCCGTTGCGGCCATTTGGGAAGTGAACCAGCGGGCGGAAGACCTCTCTCTGTCTCTCCCTCTCACTGTCTGTAACTTTACCTGTCAAATAAATAAAGCATCTTAAAAAAAAAAAAAAAAAGGATGGGTTCCAAATTTTCTACTGTAAATGTTTCTAAAACAATTTTTAAATTTTATTTTCATTTTTCAATTGAAAAGCAGAGAGAGAGAAGAGGAGAAAGAGAAATCTTCCATTCAAATAAATAAATCTTAAAAAAGGGAAATGAAGCAATGAGAATTAAAATGACACACTGAATAATATATATTTAATATGAAAGAGTAATGGAGGAATAGATCAAAAAAAGTTATGTATGGAAAACAGAAATCCTATCTTGTCAGCGATTCCACAGCATGCGAACTGACCAAACATCTCAGTGAAAGGCAGAGAATGATTCCACTGTATGCTGTCTGTGAGACGCATGTTAGATCCAGAGATGAATAAGGATACGCCCTGCAAATAGTGGCCGCAAAGGAGCGGGGTACCTGCTAATACCAGACAAAGCAGACTGTAAGAAAAAAATTGTTACTAGAGACAAAAAGTGGTAAAAGATCCATCTATCTGGAAGACCTAATGATTCTGAACATGTACGCACCTAATAACAACGACGCGTTCTGTTCTGAGCAGAAACTTGCGTCTCTGTTTCTAACTCCTTGCTCTTATTTCTGTCCCCTGGAGCCTCTCACACTCTAACTGTACCTCTGTGTGACCGGGACAGGTTTTCCAGTATTTGAAGGCAACGCTTAGGTCTTTCTTTACTTTTAATTTTTTTTTTTATTTTTGATTTTGAATCTACAAAATATTTTCTTATGCAGAAAAGTTACTGCGGTGTTGAGAGAGGACTACTTTCCTAGAATTTCATAGCTGGAAGGGAACCGAAAAAGATCCTGTTCAGGTCTCTACTTCTGTAGGTGAGTCAGCTGGGGTCTAATCGGGCGAGATCACCGAGCTAGTCACGGCAGAACAAGAAACATAATCTGGGTTCCCCACCTCTTGTCCCATGTTTATTTTGATAGTTTCCTTCTATGATAGTTTTCCCTTCTCTGGGTTGCTGGCTTTGGGGGAGGGGGAGAGGCAAAGAGAGAGGGGTTAAGTAACTCTTTTTAGTTTTTTCGGCAGTACCTGGCATCCTTCGTCTTGAATTTGTCCATGGCAGAATGTGCCATAGAAAAATGAAACTAAGAGAAGGGAAAGGAACTCCCCTGGGCACAAAAAGTCACGGATTCTCATCTTCTTTTTAAAAAATGTGTATGGGTTTTGTCACAGACCCATTTCTTAACAAAGTTGACACATACAGGAAGGTGGAACTGAGAAAAATCCAAGGACCTGGCACCGGAGGCCTGGTCAAGTCCTTGCTGAAGTCCCCCTGGCTTCTGGAATTTTTCATTGCTTTAGCCAATTAAAAATTCTGGTATTTAAACTACTTTAATTTTTTGTATCATTTTCAACAAAAAAATATCCTAATTGATAACTCTTTTATTGTTACCTTCCTCTTGATATCCAACTCTTTGTCACTAGCTTATCATGTTCTTTGGACAGAAACTAAATTACTAATCTCTATGTCTCCATGCCACCTGGGAAAGACCTGGTAGTAAGCTGTCACTCATCTCGACTTCCTGTCAGGATATTTGGTTCTCCCTGGTACCTGTGGCCTTTGAACATCTTTGAATTAGAACAAGAAGGCAGCCAGCATCCCACGTTAGAAGATACTGCTGCTTGGCCTTCTTACGGTGCTGTAATGATAGTTACATAAAATACTTAATCTATTAGCTGAACCTCACTGGGTACGAGGGATTGCCCATGCAGAATCGTCTGTTTTCCTCTCAGCTACCCTGGGGTACTGTAATTGTACCCTGTTACAAATTAGAAATCGGTGCCTGCAGAGCTTACTTAACTTGCGTAGATCACACAGCTTAATTTAGGAGTCTGCACTCAAATTACTATATCCGTATCTTTACGTTCTCATTGTACTTTAAAGAAAATGAAACTAGACTCGTAGACAATGCCTGATGAGTGGCTTATACATGAAAGGTGGTGCAGGGCTCTAATCATCAGACCTATACTTAGAAATATGCTTTGGACTGACATCAAGAGGTTGGGAAGTAAATGTACATTAACTTCAAATAAAAATGGTTAAAGGATGTGTGATTCACTTTTTATGATTTCTCACTTTCCCAGCATTTTCAGATAACCTGCCATCTTCCCAGTCCCATCAGAGAAGTCTTAATGATTTTTTTTTCTTCTTCTTATTTGAATCTAAGAGTTTGAAGGCTCACTTGGATCATGGCAAACATATTGCCCGTAACAGCTTTTTTCCGTTCACAGTAATCTCTTGGCGTCTTTCCATGGCAATGCTTATAGATCTATTCCGTTTATTGCAAGTACAGCGTCACTCAACTGTTCATGCCAATGGGCATTTGAGTGCCCTCCCTCCCCAATTGTTTGCTTTTAAAGTAACGTTTCATGAAGCATCATTCTTTTTTTAAGTTTTATTTATTTATTTGAAAGAGTTACACAGAGGGAGAAGGGAAGCAGAGAGAGAGAGAGAGAGAGAGAGAGAGAGAGAGGTCTTCCATACGATGGTCATTCCCCAGTTGGCTGCAACAGCCGGAGCTGCGCCAATCCGAAGCCAGGAGCTTCCTCCGGGTCTTCCTATGTGGGTGCAGGGGCTCAAGGACTTGGGCCATCTTCCACTGCTTTCCCAGGCCATAGCAGAGAGCTCAATTGAAAGTGGAGCAGCGGGGACTCAAACCGGCGCCCATACGGGATGCCGGCACTGCAGGCGGTGGCTTTACCCGCTAAACTACAGCAAGCATCATTCTTTGTACAGTGGGGCGTTGGTGTGAGGCGGACAGTCTCAAGGTCTCGATTCTTTTAGTTTTTATTTATTTATTTATTTTTATTTATTTATTTTGACAACAGAGTGGACAGTGAGAGAGAGAGAGAGAGAGAAAGGTCTTCCTTTGCCGTTGGTTCACCCTCCAATGGCCGCCGTGGCTGGCGTGCTGTGGCCGGCGCACCGCGCTGATCCGATGGCAGGAGCCAGGTACTTCTCCTGGTCTCCCGTGGGGTGCAGGGCCCAAGGACTTGGGCCATCCTCCACTGCACTCCTGGGCCACAGCAGAGAGCTGGCCTGGAAGAGGGGCAACCGGGACAGAATCTGGCACCCCGACTGGGACTAGAACCCGGTGTGCCAGCGCCGCAAGGCGGAGGATTAGCCTAGTGAGCCGTGGCACCGGCAAGGTCTCGATTCTTTTAGTTCAGTGGTCCAAGAAGGGTTAATAAACATCCCGAATCCCCATTTTCAAAAGCTTCTCGTGTCGGGGAGCATGGCCGTACATAGCTTCTACTTCAGTGTAAGAGGGGAGGAATCCAAGAAGAGGGAACCAGAGGTGTTCAGATGAGTGGGTGACCAAGAAGACTGCCTGGAGGAGGTGGCCACCGAGTCTGGGCTTCCGTGGTGGGAGGGTTCTGAGCCCTGCTTGGCTTGTCCTCACACCACTGCCGGGCAGTGTGCTTGTCACCTGGCTGGACCCTTGCTCAGACCCTCTGGTAGTGTGATTAGCAGGCCAAGATGGGAAGGAGGGATGCAGCTCAGGGGGAGAGTGCACAGTGTGCCCAGAGGACCAAGAACTGGCTGGTGTGGCCGGCTCGCTGGCCGCCCTGGGGTGGCATGGCAGTAGCAAGGCGTTAGGGGCATGGATTCAGGGTTCCTAGGAGGGGGACTTTCCTTTGGGGCACATGGTGAAGAAAGGGTAGAGAATTTTGATTTTTTAAAATTTATTCGAAAAGCAGGGTGATGGGGGAGAGAGAGACTGCTGGTTCACTCCCCAAAGGTCCACCACAGCGAGTTCTGAGTCAGGCTGAAGCCAGGAACCAGGAGCCAAGAACTGCATCCTGGTCTTCCACAGGGGTACCAGAGGCACAAGCACTTGGCCATCTTCCTCCGCCTTCCCAGGCGCATCAGAAGGGCGCTGGATTGAAAGTGGAGCATCTGGGCTGCCAGCTGCACCTCTGACAATGGGATGCAGGCACCACAAGCGGAGGCTTAGCCTGCCACACCACACTGCCAGCCCCAGGGCAGAGAATTTAAGGGTGGTGCGGACAGCTGTCCGGTAGGAAGATAAGATACTGAGCTGGGTAGCTGGGCGGTGTTCTGTACAGGTGACCTGGCAGCCCCAGGTTTTACTGAATCTGTTACTACAGCAGCCTCCCCACTTCACCTTGGGGGATTGTTTCTGCTTTGAATTCCAGCGAAATAGCCATGTGGAAGAAAAACTACAAAGCTTTTTGGGAAAAACAACCCAGCTAATGTTAGCTGCCTCTGTGTTGTCTATGTCCTTAAAAATTCTTCTCTATGCCCTACAGGCTTCAACGTGTCGTTTATCTCCTTTGTTCCACAAAACATCAGATGGCGACTTTAATGGCCTAACCCCAAAAAGATAACTCCACAGCCATCAAGCGTTTAACAGTGTTCCAAATAACCTCTCGCCGGAGCCCGCCTTCTCTGGGGCCATGTGGATGTCAGATACACACAATTTGAGTCACGCTGACATAGCTGGGATGCCTGGATTGTGATGGAATCTGGGGGGTACCACTCACGGGCTGGAGAGAAGCCATAGGGCCGGCTGGAGAAAACAATGCCAGAGCGCTCACCATCTCTGCAGGAGGGGGGTGTTGATGGCGAGGGGGTGACAGTCGCAGCGGAGAGGGAGGACGGCAACTCCACCTCAGGATGGGTGCATATTTGTGATGCTGGGCCAGGGGAAGATGGAATCCAAGGGCATGGGCCAGAGGCCATGCCCTTCTTTTCCTGACCGCTCCCTTCCCCACCCCACCCCCATCTGCCCCAGCCAGAAAAATTAAGAAGGTACAAGAATTTCCCCCAAAGACGGTGAGTACAATGCCCTGCTCTCTTCAAAGGAGTGAGAGATCCCAAGTTAATGATAATGGCCAAAATGTACTAAGCAATCCCATCTAACTTATATGGGGTTCGTTTAATTCATTTAATTCTCACAGCTGTGTGAGAAGGTAATTTTTCACTATTCCCATTTTATGAAAGAGGAAACTGAGGTTGAGGGGAGATTAGGAAACTTGCCTAATGATGTGGCGCAGCAGGTAAAACCTCCACCTGTGACGCCAGCATCCCATATGGGCGCCGGTTCGAGTCCCAGCTGTTCCACTTCCCATCCAGCTCCCTGCTAATGGCCTGGGAAAGCAGTAGAAGATGGTCCGGGTGCTTGGGCCCCTGCACGCACATGGGAGACCTGGAAGAAACTCCTGGCTCCTGGTTTCGGATCGGCACAGCTCCTGCTGTGGCAGCCATTTGGGAAGTGAACCAGGAGATGGAAGACCTCTCTGTCTCTCCCTCTCTCTCTCTCTCTGGAACTCTGCCTTTCAAATAATAAAAACAATAAATAAATAAACGCCCACATCACACAATGAGTAAGTGACAGAACTGAAACTTGAGGCACAGTCTTTCAAAACCAAAGCCAAGGCTCTTGGCCACTACACTCACTACGCTACCCCGTGGCTGCTTCACACCACAGCCACCCTCCCAGACGGTGGAGTGCTGGGTGCCGAGCCAGGGCAGAGCATTCTAAAACAGATTCTATCCAAACATGCCGTTCCTTCCGCACTAGTTGACCACAGTGATTGCGATGTGCAGGACCCCGGGCTAGGCACGTGAGGGGACACGAGCACGAGGATGGCCCAGGCACAGCGGCTGCCCAGGAGGAGGCTGTGGGCTGGAGGCCGGCCTGCAGGTCTTCATAGATCTCAGATGAGCTTGGCCATTTTTTTTCAATAGCCGGGGCTTGGTTGCTTTCTTCCTCTCTTGTTCCTTCTTCCTTCCTTCCTTCCTTCCTTCCTTCCTTCCTTCCTTCCTTCCTTTCTTTCTTTCTTTCTTTCTTTCTTTCTTTAATTTATTTTATTTATTTGAAAGGCAGTGACAGGAGTGGGGGGACATAAGATTTTTTCCATTAGCTGATTCACCCTCCAAGTGGCTGCAGCAGCTGGGGCTGGACCAGGCTGAACCAGGAGTCTGGAACTCCATCTGGGCCTCTCAAGTGGGTGGTAGAGTCCAAGTACTTTGGTCATCTTCCGTTGCCTTCCCAGGTGTGTTAGCAGGGAGCTGGATCGCAAACCAAGCAACCAGGACTGAACCAGTGCTCATACGGGATGCTGGCATTGCAGGCAGCATCGTTAACCTGCTGTGCCACAATGCTGACTTCCCCTCTCTCTTTCTTCCTCTCCTTTCTTTCAAAGTTGTTCTTCCTTTTTTAAAAGAACAAGCCTTTTCTAACTTCCTTTATGTCAAATACTGTGCTAAATCATTAACGTAAAACTACTAGTGGGGTGGGTATTTGGTGCAGTGGTTAAGACACTGCTCGGGGGGCCAGCGCCGTGGCTCACTTGGTTAATCCTCTGCCTGCGGCGCCAGCATCCCACATGGGCACCGGGTTCTAGTCCTGGTTGCTCCTCTTCCAGTCCAGCTCTCTGCTATGGCCCAGGAGTACAGTGGAGGATGGCCCAAGTGCTTGGGCCCTGCACCCCATGGGAGACCAGGAAGAAGCACCTGGCTCCTGGCTTTGGATCAGCGCAGCGCCAGCCGTAGCGGCCATTTGGGGGGTGAACCAATGGAAGGAAGACCTCTTACTGTCTAATTCTGCCTGTCAAAAACAAACAAACAAACAAACAAACAAAAAAAAAAACACTAGCACTCATCCCCTTATTTGATCCCCTGCAGTCTAAGGTGGTAGACACCATTCTGCTCCCCACTTTTAGAAGACAAAGCAGCAGAAAGACAAGTTACTCGATGCCTCCGAAATCTGCCTGATTCAATATCCTACACTGTAAAATTAATAAGAACACACCCGAATATTGTTGAAGGCAGTGTTTTCCACACCTCTTCGAGCCACACTGTGATAAAGATGACCACTGTTGTACAGACTGGGACACCAGGGCACAGAGAGGTTGTGCAGTTTTCCTGAGCTCACCCAGCAGGTAAGTGGCAGAGCTGGCATTGTGCTGTCTTGTTACTTCCACTTCAGAGTAAAATAAGGAGACATTGCTCGGTTCTCGCTTTGTGTCTCGCTTGACCTCTCCTGGTGGCCCCGGGTGGGTTGCCAGGGTATCGAAAGTAGAGTGTCCAAGCTGGGTGAGGACAGCCACTGCACTGCAGGCGTGGAGAATGCAGGGTGGTGGACGGCGGCCACAAGCCTGGGGCGCTGCCAGGCCGGGCCTCCAAGCCCATGGGTGGGTTGGCGGCCCCAGGGCTAAGCGTGCACGGAGGAGAGTGGCGGCTTCAAGGGCCCAGCAGAGGAAGCCCCAAGGAAGGGGGAGCGCAGCCTCAGCCCTCCGACGTGAGAAGGGCTGTTCTGTGCACCTGGGGACTTCGGTGGCAGCTCTCCCAAGAGCCAGCGTGAAACAGTGTTTGGGGGGGGGTTCAGAGGGACAGTGGGGAATGTATCCCCAGCATTGCATGGCACTCACTCAGTCCTGGACAGGGGGGCACAGGCGTGGCCTCGGGGAAGAAGGGATGCCCCCGAGGGCTGCCCGTTGGCCCTCTGGGTTCCTGTCCATCTGCAAAGCCGTGGTACCAGCGCTGCTTCGGCTGTGACGCCCTGACGCACTGACCACGCCCCGCCCCCACACAGAACTCACAGTTCTGGCCAGGGGACAGAAAGCACAGGTGCCCTGAGGTTGAGACCAGCATTCACGCAGAGCAGGGGGGCCTGGGGTGCTGAGGTCACTGGGGTGTGGGAGCCTCAAACACCCTGGAAATGGGCCTGGTGGGTCCCAGTCCCTCCGTGACACTCACACTCCATTCTTACAGCCCCTGTGCCCTCTCTGCTATTCACTTGTCGTTGTACTGAGCATCTCGGGGCACCTCCCTGGTATGGGGGCTCCTGGTGTTGGGAGCTGCTTGCGTTTCTCAAATGCTCAGACAGCCTTTCGCCCTAACATCCTACAAGTCGGTGTTGCTTTCATCACTGTATTACCATGAAGGAAAGAGAGGCCCAAGGTCACAGGGGCTCAGGAGCAAGTTGGGGGCTGGACACAGTGTTGGGACCCTAGCCGGAGGTGTCTGGCTTGTCGCTCCACAAGAAAGAACTCAGGGACCTTCTTGCTGTTTGTATCTCTCCTAGCTTCTAACAAGGGTCCACACGGAGCAGCTGCTCAAGAAACCAAGGTTTATTTTTTATTTTTTTAAAAAGATTTTTATTTATTTATTTGAGAAGTAGAGTTACAGAGAATGAGAGGGAGAGACAGAGAAAGGTCTTCATCCACTGGTTCACTCCCCAACTGGCCGCAATGGCCAGAGCTGTGTCACTCCAAAGCCAGGAGCCAGGTGCTTCTTCCTGGTCTCCCACGTGGGTGCAGGGGCCCAAGGACTTGGATCATCTTCTACTGCCTTCCCAGGCCACAGCAGAGATTGGAAGACGAGCAACCAGAACTAGAACTCCAAAGTTTATTGACTTCCAAACATGTCACTCAGTTTTACTGACTTGCTGGTTTTCTTTTTTTGTTTGTTTGTTTTTGTTGTTGTTGTGGTGGTTTTGTTTTTTGTTTTTTGTTTGTTTGTTTTTGGTTTTGGTTTTTTTTTTTTTTTTGTCAATAGTAAACTAGGATGCTCTTGAGAAGACTAAATGCTGTTGAATCTTTGCTGTAGATCACACGAGGTACTTCTTAAAAGATGTGAAAGAGATTTGCAGGCCGTAGCCTAGGAAGTTGTATTCCAAGTCTTTAGGGCAGCAAAAGAATAAAAATGTGAGTTGGGAAAATGGGATCCATGGAGACCACTCATTTCAGTAAAAGCTTGATACAGGGCCGGTGCTGTGGCCTAGCGGGTAAATCTGCCGCCTGGAGTACGGCATCCCATATATGCTGGTTCGAGTCTCGGCAGCTCCACTTCCGATCCAGCTCTCTGCTGTGGCCTGGAAAAGCAGAAGATGGCCCAAATGCTTGGGCTCCTGCGCCCACATGGGAAACCCAGAAGAAGCTCCTGGCTCCTGACTTCAGATCAGCCATTACGGCCAATTGGGGAGTGAACCAGCAGATAGAAGACCTCTCTCTCTCTCTCTCTCTCTCTCTCTCTCTCTCTCTGCCTCTCCTTCTCTCTCTGTGTAACTCTTTCAAATAAATAAATAAATATTAAAAAAAAAAGACAGTGAAAAGAGAATCACAGAATGAGAGAAAATATTTATTAAAAAAAAGCTTGATTCATCCAATCAGAACCTATTTTAACTTGGAGATTTGGAGAAGTTCCCACAGTGGAAGAGAGAACATACCATCAACATAAAACTGGCTCGGTGATGCTGCCCCTTGCAGGAGTGGCATTTGGCCTGGCAGTGAAAACACCGGTTAGGACAGCTGCACCCCGCATTGGCCTGCCTGGGTTCGGTGTGCGGCTCAGCTCCTGACTCCTGTCTCCTGATGGAGGCTCCAGGAAGCAGCGGTGATGACCACAGTAACTGGGGCCTTGTCACTCGCATGGGAGACCCGGATTTGATTTCTGACTCCTGGCTTCAGCCTAGCTCCTGTTGTTGTGGGCATTTGCGGGGCGTGAACCAGCAGCTGGCAATGTGTCTCCTTCTATCTCTGGCCCTCAATAAACACATTTAAATAATATTAATGTTTTTAAAACTGAAGAGTTCAGTAGAAAGCAAACAGAAGGAACCTTGCACACACTGCCAGAGCGTTCACGTGGACTTGATGCCCTCCATCTACGTCTTCAGTCCTGGGCCGTGAGGCCTGGCACCCAGTGGTGGTCTCCAGCCAGATCCCTGTGAGACCACCCGGAAGGGTGTGTTCCTTGCACTATGCTTGCTAAGATAGCGAAGTGGGCTCCTATTTTTGAGAGAAATCTCCTGATTTTTCGAGAAACATAAAGGACTTTTCCCCCCTCAAGTTATTATTCAGCTCCTAACAGTGGGGTTTGGAAGAACTTCTCCAAATTCTCCAAGTTCGGGTCAGTTGACCTTCTACTGTAACAAGCAAATCTGAAGCCGCAGATGAATTGGGGAACAAAACACTGGCTCTTAGCTAGGCATTCTCTTGGTGCTTCTAGAAATCGCACTTCTGCTGCATTTGAATGATTTCACTGAGTTGAAGGTGAGATTTATACACAAGGGCGCTTCAAGAAGTTGGTGGGTATGCTCCGGCTTCGCTTCAGATCATGTAAATCTTTTGCCTTTTACAAAAATTTGGTGGAAAATGAAATCAAGTGATAAATTTTTTGGTAAAACCATTATCTACAAGGGGTCTTTGGAATGGCCGTAGAAAATGCGGATTATTGGAGCCAGTGCTGTGGCATAGCTGGTAAAGTCACCACCTGCAGTGCTGGCATCCCATATGGGCGCTGGTTCGAGTCCCAGCTGCTCCACTTCCCATCCGGCTCTCTGCTATGGCCTGGGAAAGCAGTAGAAGATGGCCCAAGTCCTTGGGCCCCTGCATTCACATGGGAGACCCGGAAGAAGCTCCTGGCTCCTGATCAGTGTAGTTCCGGCCATTGCAGCCAAATGGGGAGTGAACCAGCGGATGGAAGACCTCTCTCTCTCTCTCTCTCTCTCTCTGTCTCTCTCTCTCTCTTTCTGCCTCTCCTTCCCTCTCTATGTAACTCTGACTTTCAAATAAATAAATAAATAACTCTTAAAAAATGCGTATTATGAAAAAAAAAACTATGCATGGGTTTCAACATCTTTTGGCACCAAAATAAACTTGTCTTTTAATTCTAATTTTCCATGAACTTTTTGAAGCCCTTCCTATTCAATTCAGAAAGTCCGGTAAAAAGTACCCGCTTGTTTAAGACTCCTAAAAGCTGCACTCTGCTAACACTGTGGAGGTGGTCAGCGGGTCCCTGCAGATGTCCACTTCCCAGCTATCTCCAGGTACTGTGCATCTTCCTGTGCCCCAGACATTGTGCCCTCCTGAGCAGGCCTCTCCACTGGGACCTCCGCTGCCGTCACAGCTGCTTCCCCATTGCTTCCCTTCCTCGGTTTTGTTAGGGTTGCTTTCCCCTTTTGGTACAGAAAATGTTCAAACATAAAAGTAGGAGATATCCTATCACTGCCAGGGATCCTATCACACCCACTCATCAGCTTCTACAATTTTTAACGTCGTGTATGGCCAATCTTCTTTGATACCTAACCAATCATAGCCTTCCCACCCCCTCCCCTCCCCTCCCCTCCCCTCCCCACGCCTGCTCAGATGACTTTAAAGCAAGTCCAAAGCCAGGCCGTTTCATCTATAAAGACTCCACGGGCACCTGTGTAGGGAGCCTTTGGTCCATGCATCCACCAGGTTACTGAAAAAGCGCATGGGAGGGGCGGACATGGGTGCAGCGGTGTAGACGCCTCTTGGGATGCTTGTGTCCCGTACTGGAGAGCCTGCTTTGGAGTCCTGGCTTCTCTTCTGATTCCAGCTTCCTGCTAGGGCAGCGTCCTGGGAAGCAACAGCGATGGCTCCAGCGTTTGGGCCTCTGCCACCCATGTGGGACACCCAGATGGAGTTTCTGGCTCCTGGCTTCTACCTGGCCCAGCCCCAACTTCAACTGTTGCAGGCATTTTGGGAGTGAAGCAGCAAGTGAAAGCTCTCTCTCTCATCTTTCAATTAAGGAAGAAAGTAAAGCAAATGTAATTTTACAGAATTTGTGTTTGACTAGTGTTTGAGTAGTGGCTGAGACGCGGTGTCCCGTGTGGGAGGGCCTGGGTAGTATCCAGCTGTGGCTCCTGACACCAGCTCCCTGCTAACGCAGACCCTGGCAGGGAGCCGTGAGGCTCAAGTGACTGGGTCCCTGTCACCCCCTAGGAGACCTAGACTGAGTTCCCGGCCCAGCCCAGGTCAGTGTGCGCACTTTGGGACTGAGTCAGCAGACAGCAGTTCTCCACTTCTATCTCGGAAATAAATGATCTTTTCTCAATTTGCTTTATCCCTGTTTTCTTTTAGAATTTGGCCTTCATTTAAATTACCTTTTAAAAACATTCCAGTAGTCATACATTTCATAAACACGGGTGTGATTTAGCCAAGTTCTTCATGACTCCCTTCAATAATACAAAGCTGGAAGTCGGTCCTGGACCCAGGACCTGTCTACCCTGCCCTGACACTGCCAAGGGCCCACGCCACACAGCCCCACCTAAGGCCTGGCCCTGCTCACTCTGTCCTGTGTTTTCAGGAGCAATCAAAGCCCTTTTTACAAAATATTTCCTGGTGTTCTGTGGCCAGGGATGGACACAGTTTTCCACTAAGCGATTTTTTTTTTCCAGCCACACTGGCCCTTAAGAAGATGTTACTGAAGGCTGCACGCCTACTTCAAACATCTTTAGGGGCCCCCGGCTGGGGACTCGGGCGGGATTGCCAGGAACCCTACAGAGAGGAGGAGCCCGATCTTGGGGCCTGCCCTGGGCCCAGTGTTTACCCAGTCCTTGCGGAGGCCCTGTCTCGCCCGTCCCCAGACAGCGGATTCTTGTTAGGAAGCTGCTGCTCGCCACGCCGTGCCTCGGCCCCCACTTGCTTTTCCCATGTTTGTGTCCCTGGCGCTTTCTCCCCTTCCTTCATTGATTTATTATTTATTTTTTTTCCCGTGCTTTCCCCCTAAGTCGTCCTGTCACTGAACAGCTGTGCTCTGATATTAGATAGAATGATTTCTGTCCTCACAGCAGCTTCTGAACAAAAGGGTTTTAAGAGCCCTGATAAGTGAACAGGATCTCGAGCAAGATGAAATGTCACCAGCGTCTCCAACCATGAAAATCCCTGTGCAAAGCAGGGCCCGGCCGGGATCTCCTCTTGGAGCCTCGGAGACTGGGCTTTTATTTTCCCAGTCTCCCTGTCGACCCGACATGGGAAAGTCGGGGAGAAGGTGGCCTTTGGCTGGCATCAAGGGCCCCCCACCCCGGCTCACCTTCCCTCAGGGAGGCCCCTTGGGAAAGGCAGAGGGGGTTCTCACTCTCCGTGACCATTATCTTCCCCTTGCTGTCCAGGTCCCGTCTTCAGCTGGATGCAGACACCTGCCACCACCTGGATGCGGTGTGGAGCCCTTGATCTTCTTTGCCTTTCTCTTCGAAGCCTGCAGTGTGGCCGCTGGTTGTTTTTTTGTTTGTTTGTTTGTTTGTTTGTTTGTTTCCCCACAGGCAGAGAGAGAGAGAGACAGAGAGAAAGGTCTTCGTTCCGTTGGTTCACCCCCACAAATGGCCATAGCGGCTGCGGCACTGCGCGATCCAAAGCCAGGAGCCAGGTACTTATCCTGGTCTCTCATGGGGTGCAGGGCCCAAGCATTTGGGCCATCCTCCACTGCCTTCCTGGGCCACAGCAGAGAGCTGGCCTGGAAGACGAGCAACCAGGACAGAATCTGGTGCCCCAACCGGGACTAGAACCTGGTGTGCCGCTGCCACAGGCGGAGGATTAGCCAAGTGAGCCGCGGCGCCAGCTGGTCTTCAGAGGAGGTAGCTGAGGGTGCAGGAAGTGGAGGAACTCAGCCACGGTGGCTTGGCAAGGTCGTTTTCAAAGTGGCTGCACCTCGCAAGCAGGTGGTAGAGCCAGAATGCAAATCCGGAATTTGAGGACCCTGAAGCTTCGGCTTTCTTCAGTGAAAATGATGCCTGGGTCTCTGGCCGGAGAGGGCTGGGCCAGGTTCTTCTACCTTCCCGGTTCCGGAGGGGGCCTCCTTCTAAACCCAAAGGGCCTCAGAGCAGGTGAGGCCACTACTTGTGACACCGGCATCCCATCCTGGAGCACTGGTTCGTGTCCCGGCTACTCCAGTTCTGCTCCACCCTCTGCTCATGTGCCCGGGTGAGCAGTGGAGGATGGCCCATGTGCTTAGAGCCCTTCTACCCATGTGGAAGACCCAGATGGAGTTCCTGGCTCCTGGCTTCAGCCTGCTCCAGCCCTGGCTATTGTGGCCACTTGGGGAGTGAACCAGCAGATGGGAGAGTCTCTCTCTCTCTCTCTCTCTCTCTCTCTCTCTCTCTGTCTCTCCCTTCTTTCTCTGTCATTCTGCCTTTCAAATAAATAAATGAATAAATCTTAAAAAAATAAATAAGCGTACACAGCCCCACCCCTGCCTCCCATCCACACCTTGTGAAGCACATACCTTCTTCCTTGTCTCCATTTCGCAGCCTCCAAACCCAGCCCTGTCCTGGGTCCAAACCCAGATTTGCACTGCCCAGCCCAAGCCTCTTCCTGATCCTGCCTTACGTGGGAACAGAAAGGTCAAGGCTTCAAGTAAGACGACAGATGGAAAGAAAAGCCTCCAAGCTTCTGGAGCTCCGTGAAATCCGTCATTATGAGGTTCCCTTGTCAGGGCTGCCAGGAGAGGGCTCACGGCAAAACCCGACAGCACACAAAGGCGCTGCTCATCACAGTCAGCGCATCTGACAAGCGGTCCCAAGGGCGGGGGTGGCGGGGGGGGGGGCAGGGAGGGAGATGATCAGAGCTGTGATTTCATTTCCTGTCTGTTGGCACCATGCCTGCTCTCCTCCCCAGAGAGCCAAAGAAGGCGCCTTTTAAAAATGCAGCAGGAAAGATTTAGGTTAGACGCAAGGAAGAACCATCAGTGTCTAGAAACCCAGGAGGAGACCGTAAAGGCATTTCCTGCTCTGGATATCTGGGAGACAGGAATCCAGACTCATCTTTTTGGGGAGTTTAGGGATGGGTCTGCGTGGAGGTAGAGCTGTGGGCTCAGTGATTCTTGCAGGCATCCTCAGCTGAGGCCAGAGGAGGGCCAAGTTCCTGCGGCCACATCAGGATCTCCCCGTCTCCCATACCCCCCGCCCAGGGGGTCTGTGAAGCCAATGCCAGCATCCCCTTTCCTCTTCCTTCCCTGTTCCATCCTTCTCAGTCTGCTCTCACTGTCCATAGAGAGAAAGAGCCACCCAGGATGCAGGCTGGATCTCAGAGCCCACAGCCGGGCAAGCCCAAGAGGGCTTCCTTCTTTGGGAGAGACGGGAGGGTGGAGGATCTCTCTCTGGGAGTGTCACATGGCACCGCAGGTCCGCAGGGGAGGTGCCGCCCATCCCATTGCGATCTCTGGCCTGTGTTCTCCTGGCCTCCCACGGGCCTCCCTAGGAAATCATGGGGACCAAGGGAGATGCAGCCTGGAGTTTACCAGGGACACTCGGTGTGTGCCGGCCGCCCCGCCCCCTGCTGCCAGCATTTGCCAAGGCTGTGCCAGAAGCCGTGGGAGGACAGCGCTCCAGAAGCCAGCAGCCCTTGGAACCCAGAGAGGAGTGTGGCCGGCAGAAACCGCCCCCACCCTCCTGGCCCGGCCTGCCCCAAACCCCAGGAAAAGCTGGCTTTCTGTGGAAACTTAAGCCGTGCCTGCTGGAGCAGGCTGAGGAGGGGGTGGGGGTGGCCCTGCCAACTGGTGCCAGTGGGCATGGCAGGAGCATGACAGCTGGAGGGTAGAGAGCCACAGGCTGTCAGAGCCAGGCTCCTGCCAGCCCGTGCTAGGGCTCAGCTGGGGCAGTTGGTGGGGGGCTCCGAGGTGAGGCAGGTCGAGGCTGGGGAGCCTGAGGGTGGGGCACCGGGAGGTCTGGGGCCAGAAGGCGGGGCGTAAGGTGCACAGGGTCCGAAACCAACCAGAAGGGGAGTTGGAGCGAGCCTAGCAGGCCCTGGCTGGCTCTTCTTGCAATGGAGGGGGCTCCTTGCACGGCTAGAATTATCGCGAAAAGGCCATAGACTCCCCACACTGCTTCAGGTGCCCAGAGCTCCCTGGAGCCCTCCCCTCCACACACAGCCCTCAGGAGCAGGGGCTGTGGGAACGCAGGGTGCAGACAGGCCAGCTGAGGGGTGACGGCTGCCCCTGCGCTGCCCTGTCCAGGTCAGCCTCATACGCCCCTGCCTCCTTCTCCAAGCTGGTCAGGGGTTTCTGCAGCTGGCACGCTGACATCATGAAAGGGCCCCGTGTTCAGTACGCAAGATGACATTTTAGGACCACTTTGAATAGCACATGATAGGGTTTTAAAAGCCAAAATGTGGGGACTGGCGATGCGGTGCAGTGTGTTAAGCCACTGCTTGCGGCACCAGCATCCCATGTGAGTACCTGTTTCTGTCCCAGCTGCTCCACTTCAGATCCAGCTCCCGGCTGATGCGCCTAGGAAAGCAGCAGAAGATGGCCCAAGTGCTTGGGCCCCTGCACCGACTTTGGAGACCCAGAGGAAGCTCCTGGCTTCTGGCTTTGGCCTGGCCCAGCCCCGGTCGTTGTGGCCATTTGGGGAGTGAACCAGCAGATGGAAGACCTCTCTCTCTCTCTCTCTCTCTCCCTCTCTCTCTCTCTCTCTCTGCCTCTCAAATAAATAAATAAATAAATCTTTAAGACAAAACAAAATGTGCAGCTATTTCTACACGTGGCCATTGAGCCACTGACTTCAGCTTCAGCCCAGCGCCTGTTTGAACCCCACTGGCCTCTCTCCCAACGCAGGCCCGCTCCGCGGTGGCTTCCCCACCCAGGGCTGCTCGGGTGGGAAAGGAATTGCGTTCTGCAGGCCGATGGCCGGGGAGCTGTGGTTGGCGCCGGCCTTGCCCGCTCCCCAGCTCGTGCAGCACACTGGTTCTTCCTGGGGCTCACCGCCTGCTGCTGACCACCCTTCTGACTCGGGGATGCTTGGCACTCAGGGCCTCTGGCTTTCTTTCTTTCTTTCTTTCTTTCTTTCTTTCTTTCTTTCTTTCTTTCTCTCTCTCTCTCTCTTTCTCTTTCTCTTTCTCTCTTTCTCTCTCTCTTTCTCTCTTTTGTAAAAACAGGATATTTCTTCCAGCAATGTGGTACTCACGTGCCTGCTTAGGAAACTCCCGCCTCGCTCTAGATTCCTGCTGCAGCATCTCAGCCTCTACAGCGTCCTCCCAGACCGCCCTCAACAGCCCGTGGGCCTGGACCCCTCCTCTGGTTAGCACGGTTTCCTCTCCACTTGGCTCACGCAACCCTGGCCTCCTCTTCTCTGTGAGCATCTGAGGGCAGAGGCCAGTTTGATTTATCTTGATCTACCCGCTCCAGCGACGAAACCTGGTGCTAATAGTTTTCCAAACTATGCATTGACTTCCATGACTTAACCTACCTACCCTTTAAGATGTTATTTTTTGTTGGGGCCGACGCTGTGACAGTAAAGCCGCCACGTGCAGTGCCAGCTTCCCATAAGGGCGCCACTTTGAGTCCCGGCTGCTGTACTTCCGATCCAGCTCTCTGCTGTGGCCTGGGAAAGCAGTAGAAGATGGTGCAAGTCCCTGGGCCCCTGCACCCATGTGGGAGACCCGGAAGAAGCTCCTGGCTCCTGGCTTCAGACAGGTGCATCTCTAGGGATGCAGCCATCTAGGGAGTGAACCAATGGATGGAAGACTTTTCTCTTTCTCTCTCTGCCTCTCTGTAACTCTGCCTTTCAAATAAAATAAATAAATCTTTATATAAAATATATTATTTGCCCTAATTTTCCAGAAGGAAATTGAGAGGGAGCAATGGTAGCTCCAGAATTTTGATCCCCAGAAGGGACGTATGGGTTTTACCTGATTGCAGACAGGAGGACCAGGGCATTTAACCCCAAGGCTGGGCTTCCCTATGCATTGTTCTGACTTTGCAGATTGAAAGTTTTGGGAAATTTTGGGGACAGAAGCTTCCTTTACCAAGCCACTCCTTGGTACCACTTCTAGAGGGAAGGTAATTCCCTTGACCATGATCACAGAGCTAGAACCATCTGAACCCTGGGTCACTGCTGGGCAGCACTTGATTGCCAGAGGGAGGTTGGTTAAAATTTGCCGTAGGTGCTCTGTGCCAAGTCGCTAATGAGTCGTTAGTGTGGAGTTTACAGAAAGAGAGAGACCAAAGGCCCCAGTTTTCCCAGCTTATTGGTTAATAGGAGAAATAAGTCGTTAAAAGGTACAGAATGGCACAGACGAAAGAAGACGCATCAGCAGGTGTCACCAATGGCAACTGGGCAGAAATCTCTATGTGGAGCTGCAGAGCTGCCAGGGAAGGGACCTGGGTAAGAAGGTTGGTTTGGGCGCCAGTGTGTGAGACTCAAAGTGCTGCCACATTCCAGCTGCAGCCCCCCAGCCACCCCACCCTCCCGTGTGGGGTCCAGTTCCCTCGTCCACATAAGAAGGGGCTGACAGTCAGCCTTGCCAAGTCCCCTCCAGTGCTGACGCGTTAGGACTTCGTTTTCAAAGCAGAGAAATCCATGAACGTGGACATCACTTAGACTGGTCTATTCCTGTGACTTTCTACAATCTCGGAGAACAGTCTCTGGTCTATTTCCATGCTCAGTGTCTGTTTTGAGGATTGACTGTAGCCAGATGGCATTGGAAATCAGCTTCCTCCACCTGTATCCCAGGAATGCCTGGATTTTAATATTCATTCAAGTCAGAGCAGTCAGCTACGGGAAAAGAACCACTAAATAAACCAGAAACGTCTCCAAAGCCAAACAGAATGGGATTGAGGTTCTTCATGCTTTTGTATTACCTGGGCCGGTTCTTCCTCAGAATAGTGCGGACGTGTGGATGATCTGACAGCGGGCAATTATATTTTTCAGGTTGATGAGCCAAGGCCTTCTCAGGGACCCACTCCAGGACCCAAACCCAGACTATTTTATTCTTGCCTGGAGCCACAAGTTGAGGGTCGCACAGGGTGGTGGGGAATTCAGATGCTTCCGAGAAATCAGCCACCCACTTGGAGAGTAAGAGGGAGATGCATTTAGTGATTCTGGTTCCAAGCTCAAGGCCATGTCAGGGCAAAGGTTACCAGTACTGAGTCTAGGGGCATAGTGGCTGCCTGGGAAACCCATGCAGCTGCCAAATACCGTCCATCTAAGAGTCCCAGTGGGGAGCCGGCGCTGTGGGTAGTGGGCTAAGCCTCCAGCTGTGGCCCCAGCATCCCATATGGGCGCTGGTTCAAGTCCTTGCTGCTCCTCTTCTGACCCAGGTCTCTGCTTATGGCCTGGGAAAGCAGTGGAAGATGGCCCAAGTGCACTCACGTGGGAAACCTGGGAGAAGCTCCTGGCTCCTGGCTTCAGCTTGGCCCAGAAGAATCCCAGTGGCACTGAGAGAGGGCAGGCACAGAGCGGGTGGGAAGAGGTGGCAAGGAGAATTTGGAGAAAGCCATGGAGGGATTTGGAGAAAGTCATGGAGGGCATGCCCCCTGCTGAAGCTCTGCGGAGCGGTGACTGATCCGGCGCCTGCAGGGAGCCCCTCAGAGGGAAGGCAGGAAGGGAAGAGGTGGACATGTGGGAGATGGAGGCCAGGACCTGTGTCCCAGAACACGGCTGGAGGAGGAAGAATCCTCCTGCCCACAGTGGGGAGGAGATTATTTGACAAATCTCTCATTTGTGCCAGAGAGAGTTTACTAAGTATACTAACTTTATGTGCTGTGTCTGCCTGGATTAAAGACACAGTTTAGGGTGGTGGTGGGGGGGCTGTTTGGTACAGGGGTTAAGGCACTGGCAGCCTATATTGGAGTGCCTGGGCTTGAGTCCTGCCTCTGTTTCCTATTCCAGCTTGCTGCCAGGCAACACCCTGGGAGGCAGCAGGTGATGGTTCACGTACTTAGGTGCCTGCCACTAGTGTGGGGAATTTGGGTTGAGTTTCTGGCTCCTGGCTTCAGCCTGGCTGTTGTGGGCATTTGGAAAACAAACCAGTGGATGGAAGATTTCTCTTTCTCCTCTTCTCTCTCTCTCTCTCTCTCTCTCTCTGCTTTTCAATTGAAAATAAAATTTAAAAATTGTTTTAGAAACATTTACAGTGGTAAAATTGGAGCCCATCCTTTTTTTTTTTTTAAGATGTTTTATTTATTTATTTATTTGAGAGGTAGAGTTACAGACAGTGAGAGGGAGAGACAGAGAGAAGGGTCTTCCATGCCCTGGTTCACTCCCCAAATGGCCACAACGGCCAGAGCTGCGCCGATCCGAAGCCAGGAACCAAGAGCTTCTTCCGGGTCTCTCACGTGGATGCAGGGACCCAAAGACTTGGGCCGTCCTCCACTGCTTTCCCAGGCCATAGCAGAGAGCTGGATGGGAAGAGGAGCAGCCGGGACTAGAATCGATGCCCACATGGGATGCCAGCGCCACAGGTAGAAGATCAACCTACTGTGCCACAGCGCCAGCCCCAGAGCCCATCCCTGAAGAAGATTCCAAAAAAAAAAAGAATTCCCTTTGTCCATGACCTCCTCTGTTTGCTGTCTCTTCTTCCTGGCTCCAGGGGGGAGCAGAGCTATGGGGTGTGGGCAGGAGGAGGGATGAGGTAGAGGGGCCAGGGTGCTCCATGTGGAGGTATTTTTTATTTTAATATTTATTTATTTATTTGAAGGCAGAGTTACAGAGAGAGAGAGACAGAGAGGTCTTCCATCTGCTGGTTCGCTCCCCAGATGGTTGCAATGGCATGCGCTGGGCCAGGTCAAAGCCAGGAGCCAAGAAGGGGCTTCTTCCAGGTCTCCCTTATGGGTGGCAGGGGGCCCACATTCTTGGGCCATCTTCCACTGCTTTTCCTAGGCCACTAGCAGGGAGCTGGATCTGAAGTGGAGCAGCTGGGACTTGAACAGGCACCCATATAGGATGCCCATGGTGCAGGCAGTGGCTTAACCTGCTGCGCCACAACACTGGCTCCCACATGGAGGTCTTCTCTTGTTCCCTGTCCTCTTCTGCACCCACTGAACCAGCAGAATCATCGGAAGGACACTAAAACCCAAGGCTCAGGATCCCTGGGTGCCACTCGGTTCTGCTGTGAATGAGGCTGGACAAATAAATAGGTTATTTGCATGTCATGTGTTGTGAGTGCTCGTGTTCCTTCCACTCGTGACTGTCTGCAACCTCCTAGCCATTGGCCATTGTTTCTAGAAGCCAGGCCTTGACGACAGCTGGGTTGCTGGGCCACCAGGCACAACTCCTTGGACTCATTTCTCCCCAAATGAGAAAAAAATGCAGGTGACCCCAGGAGCCCTGTTTCTTGGACTCCTTCCGTCCACAAGCAGGATGCTTGCATAGCCACAGGGAACCTCGGGCTTGCTGCTTTCTGGGAGGCAGACTTTGAGCAGAAGCTGCCAATAAGGGATTTGTACGCAGGGGGTACATTCCGCAGGGGCGGCAGAGAAGGTTTTGGCTTCCTTGATAGCTCTTATCTTGTGGTCTGTCGTGGGAAGGGGAACTTGCTGTGAATTTTATCCAGAATTATGGCTGCCCTCCAGATGCATAGGCTCCCAAGGATGAAGGAAAATCCCCCTGCTTTACTGAGGAGCCAGGACACACAGGGCACAGCAGAGCAGACAGTGCCTTGGCCTCCAAGAAACACACGCAGGCTC